AATCAAGCTCTTATGCCGGATCTGCTGTAATTCTCGAAAAAGAATATATCAAGCAAGAATTAACAATCGGTCATTGATACAAGCATCGTCATTTTGCTGGTCTTGCCGTAGCCTAGATTGCTTCAATTTGCTTGAACAATATGCCAAGTTGTCGCGAACTCTGCCCATTTTCAATTTCTCGTTTCTTAGATTTTCTCCCCCAGCACGTCAACGGCGTCCCTAATCTTCTGTTTCTTTATGTTTTCATCCAATGAGGTCGTTCTTTCTGTTGTCTTTTAATTGATCCCGTGTCCAGTCTGTGCGATGTGTTCCGCCAGTTCTGATATTTCGATATCCATTTGCCTGCAGAGCCTATGATGTTCCTTGTTTCATATACTGATGTTTATTTCTTTTTCGTCAATTCTCGGCACATGCTTGGCACTAAACTCCCGAGCAATCCAATTTGTCAACCTTCTCATGTTGCGTGGGTAAAATTATAAAGGATGTTGTGTTTTCCTTAATGTTCACATGATCATTCAATTTTCTCAATTTAAACTGTAGTCTTTTAGTCGGTTCACAGGAGGGTAGGCATATCCACATTTCTCAGTTTTTCTCCATCCTTATTTTATTTCTTAATCCCAGTTCTATCATCGGCTTATAATAATATTTTTCTCGTTTATCAGTTGCCAAGAGATGTCAGAATAAATTTGTTCAGCTCTAAATCCCTGAATTCCACGTCTTTTAATCTTAGGCTTATGATGAGTATACTCCTCATTATTTCGATTTTTAGTTTGTAGTTGTGTTGAGGCTGGAAATTGAGTATAAAAAAACCGTTTGACAGAAAGTTGGCCAAGGGATTGACTTCACTCATCTTCTTGACTAGTTGCAACTTGGTGTTGAGAATGGCAATACTGACTGACGATGCCTGCGAAACGCTTCGGAATATACCAAATCCACGGTCCAACGCTGTAAATTATGGTAACTACTATGGCAGAAAACTTTGGACAAGATGAGTCCAGCCAGGTTACCCTGACAACACGACCAAGTTTGTTAAAACGGGGTCAGAACATTTCCTTTAATATCTTTTTGATTATGTTTATGCCGTTACTCTCTCTTGAAGGAGGACCTTCGTTAAGCGTGAAATTGATTCACCATTTTTGGTTTAGGGCAGTTGAATTTCATCCCAATCAGTCAAGTAGGTAACGCGTTTCTATTGAAATTCACATAAACTTGATGCCCAAAATGTAGTCTTATTCATTCTAAACTGGACTGCAATTCCGGCCTCTTTTGGAGTGGTTTCATCACACCCTCAGCAGGATTCCAAAACCGACGTGTTAAACTCAGTAAAGGATATATACAATTTCGTTTAAGATGTTGAAAGATTGAGAGTTGAATTTTCGCCCATTTATATGAATCGACATTACAGTTCCGTTAAAGTTCACATTGCCTTGCTTTCGGAAAGGTATATCTGTTTTACAAATAGTCTTGTAACCCTACTTATAAATAATACTAAGTAATGTAATCGATTACTATAACAAATAGAAGTTTGCTTCATCGACAATCCCAACCCATAATTTGATATGCAAAATGTTGTTGGGAGAACTTTCATTTCGTATGAAGTGCACGAAGAATGGATTCTTAGGTCGATCTCACCAGAAGAGGACGGATGACTTGCGTTGTACTGC